TTTCCTCACTGATAAAAGAAAAAATCTAACAAACTAGGTAGCTCAAAATAGATGAGAGATACATATATGTTCTTTGCCATTTATTATACCACTATTAAAAATACCAATTTTCATAGATGTATTAATGACATAAAGTGCTAAAGTTAAAATATAAATGGTAATCCAGGATATATGATACTAGAGGCCTGATGCACAAATTTGTGCACAGGTGGGGTCTGGCTGGCCTGCCCCAATGAGGGCCCATTGGGCCAGCCAGGGAGAGGGCCCGCAGGCAGTTGGCCAGCAGGCCCCGCCCCCAATCAGGGTGTTGGGGGGCCAATCGGGGGCCAGGCCGGCCTGGAAGGGGCCAATTGGGGCCCAGATCAGGCCAGTTGGCTGCCACAGTGCACATCATAGCCACCAGTCATTCTGGTCGTTCTAGTTGTTCCTCCATTCCGGTCGCTGGGCTTTTATATATATAGATAGATAGATAGATATAATACCACACTTTGCAGAAGGGAAATACTCTAAAATGTGGTGTTATCTCTGGGTTGTGAGATTACAGGTGATTTTAATTTTTTTCTTTATACTGTTTGAATATTTTTCAGTATTCTAAAATGAACATCTATAGGTCTTATAAATAGAAAAAAATATTAATATTACATAAAACTTAAACAAGTCATTACCATGTTGATTTATTTATTGAACATCTGCCTCTCATATTGTAGGAGCAGAAGCCACAAAAAAGCATAAGCACCTGTCCCTTTGCTCAAGAAGCTCACGTCTACACTGTTGCTATTTGTTGATTTGGTTGACCAGCATCCACTCCCTACCTTCTGAAGCAGCACCCTAATCTGGTTTTGAGGAAACCATCCTTCCCTGACTCTGGGATTTCAAGTGAAACCAAGGACTGCACAGGAGTGACTGGAGATGCTCCACTCTCTTCAGATGATCCATGAATGATAGGCTAAGTGAGAGATGACTCCTCTCCCTTATAATGGTCCAAGTGGGAGGTGACCCCTTTCTCTTGAGATGGGCTAAGTGTGGAGATGACCCCTCTCACCCATGATGGTTTAAGTGTGCTGATGCCCCTTTTTCATGAGATGGTCTAAATCAGTGATGGCGAACCTATGGCACGCGTGTCAGAGGTGACACGTGAACTCATTTTTTTGGGGGTTGATTTTTCTTTGTTAAATGGCATTTAAATATATAAAATAAATATCAAAAATATAAGTCTTTGTTTTACTATGGTTGCAAATATCAAAAAATTTCTATATGTGACACGGCACCAGAGTTAAGTTAGGGTTTTTCAAAATGCTGACACGCCGAGCTCAAAAGGTTCGCCATCACTGGTCTAAATGCTATCATTCATGAGCCCAAAGCTGTGGAGACTCATGCAGAGCATGTGAGTTACCTCAAAAAGAGCAGAGCAAGGTCTTTGAAACACTAATTCCTGAACCAAACTCAACCCCCAGCCTTTCAAGGGACATTTAATTAAAAATGAATACATTCTGTTTGAATTAGTTTTTTTTGGTTTCTTGATCCCAACATATTTCTCAATATTTTGCCCCTACAGGGTGGCTGTGCATACAGTTAACTATAATCCGAAGTAGCAGGTGCTTGAGGAGTCATGAGGGCAGGGCTTAAAGCCAGAGGGCCACAATTCACCTGAGGAGTTCAGGGAATGAATTCTTCCTGTGTGAGTTGGGTCTTAGGAGACTGGAAAGGGAATTCCTGGCAGAAGGACTAGCATGAGCAAAGGCAGAGACATATGCCATGCACAGTATGTTCGAGAAAGTAGTGCAGCTTCTGTTGAACCTTTGGTGGGGGAGCAACAAGAAAGAAGGCTGGGGCTAGAGTCTGAAGAGAGTTCTAAGGAATTTATATTTTAACCATAAAGAAATTATGGGGTTGAAGAGAAGTGTTTTTAGTAAAAAAAAAAAAAAAAGATGGAAAAGTTGAACATGGAGTGGAGTAGGAAAGAGAACAGGGAAACCATATCTTTATGCCTTTGTTTAGACTGCATTCTCCCTCCAACATGGCCTTCTAACAAAGTTCAATAGGGAGGAAGTGTTTATTCATCTATTCATCCTTATATCTCACTGCTTAATAAAGAAATGTTTGCTAAATAAAGGAAGAAAAGAAGGAACCCACAGCTTACCCATTCATCAAGTCAAATCTACTTCAAAAGTCCCACCAGGTCACACCAATCCCCCCTCTCCCAGCACCCTTGCCCTCGAAGTCAGCCCCTCTTCTTTGATCTGTGTTCCTGGTTTACTCATTCCAGCCTACACAATGCATGCCCTGCACTGTTATTTAACTATTTCATGCACTCACATCTCATCTTGCTAACCAGAGAAAGGAATCCCATCTATTCTTACAGTCAGGCTGGACTCTAGGCTCTCAGCTTGGACAAGCTCCCTGCTTCAGCTCTGGTCTTCCTGGGTAGCTTCAAGGACCTAATCTCGGCAGCGTAACAAGAAGCTGAGCATCAAACATTAAAAATACTAGACTACTCTTCTCCTCCCTTTTATCTAAATCTGCTTAAATTAGCAAAGTAATAATGAATACAAGGAATGGCATGTTTAGAGTGCAGTTGGGCCCTGCTTTATGATGTTACCCAGCCATCTGTGACCTTTCAATAGAGGCCTTTGGGAATCTAGGTCTGAATCACTCTGCTGAATGACAATGGCAATGCAAAACAGTCCTGTGGCTTTAAGAGTCTTGCTGCTCACTGATTTATCTGGCCCATTTTTCTTTAACAGTAAACAAATGGTCACATTCTGGTTCTAACCACAAGATCAACTTCCTTGACAATATTCTAGGAAATGTTGTGAAAATATGCAGGTGTATAAAAAAAAAAAGATGTTTCTATGAATGTCTGTACACACACCGCCAACATATGTGAAATAACAGAGTTGCCTGAAATGCCATAAGAATTTTACATTTAGTGGGAAACATGCTAATGTTTCCATCTCTTTTTAGGCTGTAGCACAGGATAATGTCTTGACAAGCACTGCTTGTTTTTGGTTGAGAGAGAAAGGATTTCCATTTCATATTTTAATGGAATGGGAAAGGAGGAAGCACCTGCAGACTTGGGCAAAGCCAAGGCCCCACAGAGCTGCCTGCTTTCTCTTTGGCCTTTGCTTTTTCAAAAGCATCACCGTCACCCAAAGTGTGTTCCTGATCTCTTTGCATTCCTATCCAGACAATCTTGATTGCCCACATCCTTTCCTGATTACAATGTCTTTCTGATTTCTAGGAGGCTGAGTTCTGCAACCTGAGTCAGACGGGAAACACACATTCGCCTGATTGCAATGTCTTTCCGCTTTCTCCGAGGTTGGGCTCTGAGTCAGGTGGAACTTACTTCAATGCCTGCACAGCTCACAAATCCGAATCCCACCTGTCTGAAGGGCGGACCACAATAGAACTGCAGGGGTAACACAATCCCACCCGGATGTTATATTTTATGTGCAATAAAAATGAAAGACGATACTTAACAAGCTGGCCTCTGCCAGGAAAATCAAATTAAACAGCCATTCCTTCCTGATTACATTCGACAATGTTTCGAGATCCGGGTTGATGGTCCAACTTCCCTCTTCCCACAGGCACTCCGGAATCAGGCCCCTGGATTCGCACCAGCCTTTATGGCCCTGTCTCCCTCAGAGATGGGTGACCACGGTCCACTGTGCTGGGGGTCTGGAGGAGGGACCCGCCCGGCGTGCAGGACAGCGGTTCCCCGTTAATGTTTAGGAGATAAACAGACCAGAAGGGAGACGAACAGATGTCAACACCCGCACCAAGATCCTCGCATCGTACATCAATTCATCGACCAAGGCAACTCTCCCAACTGCGCGAAATG